GGGCACCACCTGGTGGAGGAGGAAAGGAAACACAAAAACAGACCAAACAAACTGGATTCCTGACACATGCTGTCCTCCTCACTGTGGTGCAGGTGATCCTGGCAGAACTTTACTCCACTGGTTTCGAGCGGTCTTTCTCAGACGACGACGACTTGACCGCCATCGCTGATAGCGACGTCGTCTACGCCTTCCAGGCTCCGCCCCTCAGCAGCAATGGGGGCTCTGCTCCACACTCAGGTAACCCTGGGGGGAAACAAAATACTCTTTCTTAACTCCTCCTGCTTAAAAAAACATTTTAAATTGTTCTATTTAAAAGTTTTTCTGATTAACTTTCTGTCCCGTTTAATGATGATTTCCTCTCTAACTGTTTTTTAGTTCCATTTAGTCCATTTCTGTGATTACTCTGCCTTTTTTTCCCCAAATGCACACATTTTACTTTAGAGATTAAATAGCTCTCTTTCTTTTTGGTCATGCACTGCTGCATCCTAACAGATTACATTTAATTTAATGTCTAAATGGCTGCATCATTCAAAATATAAATTTTGCTGGAGTAAAGTCTCGCATGAAAGCCTCTGCTGATTACATTTATGAAACTAAAGATTGAATTTCTGAAGGTTTGGCTCCACTTTGGTTTCTATTTGACCCTAATCTGCTAAAAACCGTGATGCATCTGAATAATAAAGCTTTAAATGTTCCTAAAAGCCAGAAGTGAAGAAGAAATTAATGTTATGAGCAGTGGCGGTCTTAGCATGGATGGTAAGATCCTCCTTTTACTCCTCCTCCTCGTCTTCCACAGTCATGACCAAACACACATCAACTCCCCCTCTGCAGCTCATTCTTCACTGGCATCCTTTTTATTGTGTTGCTGTTTAGGAAAGGTTATGAAGAATGTGATCAGACAATCGTTGGGATGATTATTCAGCCAAACTTAATACTATATAACTTACTAGAGTGAAACTGTGACTTTATTCTTTCAGTGGAAATGCTTCCTTCAGGTCCCTGGAGCTCTGGGCAAGTAGCCCACCATGGCCCACATTGAAAAACAACCACTTGTTCTGAAAATCTCCAAATAATTACAAATTAAATATTATTTGAAAAGAGGATTTTCACTTTTAAAGTCGTAGGGAAGCGGCCGCTCCAACTGTTATATTTCCGAATTCTCCTGAGTGGAGCACGACTTTAGATGAGTCAATAAAGTCAATTTGATTTGGTTTTGGCCGGTTTGTCAGAAGCATCTTGCTAACAAGGCAGACATTTTGGAACAAGTGAACATCTCCCAGTGGAAGACTTTACATTAGTGGTGAATATTAGAACTGAAATGATTGTATTGCACTAAAGGAGCATTTAAACAGACTGTAATTACTGTGAAGTATCTCATTAATGTTTGTTGTCCTGCAGCTTAAAGAGGGATGACTGTGATCTGAAA